TTAAAGTCCGATATACTAATGTTCAGAAACTTATGTTTGTTCGCACTATTGCAACACCATTTCAGTCGGGATCATGATGTCTTTATGAATGAAAGATCATCTGGAATATGTGGTCAAGTGTGTTATAATGTAGGTTTAATATTCGTCACCTTAGTAAGGTATGTTCCTTTTGTGTTTTTTTAATTTATTTGTTGTGGGTTTCTATTGCATTTGGTCATATTTATTGTACATACATAGTGTATACATAGTTCTAACTGTGTTGTTGATGAATTAAGCCTTCCTTACCTTCCTAAGCTTTGGCTTCTCTTTTGCCTTGGCAAGTTCTTCCTCCAAATAGGTTCGCACGCCTATCTTGCAGTCCATGACACAGGGCTGCACAAAATCACCTAGAAGATCCTGAAGTTGAAGGTATACTGCTTGCAAAGTTAAGGACACAATTGACAAAATTAATTAACCAATTATCCAAATTGGAATCACACCATATGTTCATCTGCAAAAAGTTATCATCTTCGATCCTCCCATATTTGACAGAGAGGTTTGTAACATTTATTCTGAGACCCTCTAATGATTGATTGTTTCCGATAGTACCAACTGTTTTGGCCATTAGTCCTACACGTGGGCTTGAGAGATTCCCTCCTCCTGATATCTCCCCTAGTGGAGCACTACCTCAGCCGCCAGATGCATTCGACTGGTCTCTCAACGTATTTGGTGGTGTAGTGCATGCACGTGTAATAGTGTGGGCGTGCATGTAAGGGGAGAAGCGAGAGCAATAAAGAGGAAGGGAAGATCGCGTGCGGTCCGTGGCGTTTGTTATGGTTCCGTTCCGACATTCACGTGGTTGACTGGAAAAATACATGAAAAACCACAAATCAGAGCAGTCGGCCGTTAAAATTCTCTTCCAGACAGCGGCTTAATTCGATGGAGCTGTGTAGCTAGTGTAGAAAACTCGGGACTTATACACTAGGACCTCTCAGACAGAGATGCCGCAGTGACAACAGTTGTCGACCTGAGCTAAATTAGCTGAAACGCCTGAACAAATACTTTTATTCACTTTTATATAATACTAGCAGATCCACATATTGCATAAGTGAGAATAACCTTCACTGCCTTGAAACCGGTCGAGGTGGCACAGGGCACTAACTGACATCACTTCAGTGTCTCCGAACGAGAGTTCCTTGGGTTTGAGTCCTGACAGTAGCAGTAGTTTGGACACTAGCTAGATAGCTAGGTTGAATTCATCCGCTGTCTGGAGGAGAATTCTAGCGCCCGGCAGTTCCAATTGGTAGTTATCCGTGGTTTCTCCGATCAACACCAGGCGAATGCTGGAGCAGTACTCTAACAAATGGGCCACGGACAGTGCGCGATCCTTCCTTCCTCTTCCTTATCCTATCCCTACTCCTTACACACTTACATGCACTACACTACCACGCAGACGGCAGCTCAAAGCTTGTCCTGGCTGGGCGATGTGTCCCCGCTGGTGGGGCATCCCCGGATGTGGGAAATCCTGTGAGCCGCCATGTAGGCCGACGCCGGATCTCGCCATTTAGGGGGAAGAAAACTGCCTCCTCCGGTGGTAAAAACACATGTAATACACTTCCTGATCAAATGACCATAGCAAATGATGCGCCGGAAACACGAAATAAATCGACCAAATCACAAGCTTGAAAGAAAAAGAAGATAATTGAAAAAGGATAAAGGAAAAAAGAAAAAAGGAAAAAGGAAAAAAGAAAAAAGGAAAAAAGGGGAAAAAAGGGAAAAAAGAAAAAAAGGAAAAGGGAAAAAAAGAAAAAAGGGAAAAAAGGAAAAAAGGGGAAAAAAGGAAAAAAGGGGAAAAAAGGAAAAAAGGGAAAAAAGGAAAAAAGGGAAAAAAGGAAAAAAGGAAAAAAGGAAAAAAGGGAAAAAAGGAAAAAAAGGAAAAAAGGGAAAAAAGGAAAAAAGGGGAAAAAAGGAAAAAAGGGGGAAAAAGGAAAAAAGGGAAAAAAGGAAAAAAGGGGAAAAAGGGGAAAAAAGGAAAAAAAGGAAAAAAGGGGGAAAAAGGAAAAAAGGGGAAAAAAGGAAAAAAGGGAAAAAAGGAAAAAAGAAAAAAGTGAAAAAAGGGAAAAAAGGAAAAAAGGGAAAAAAGGAAAAAAGGGAAAAAAGGAAAAAAGGGAAAAAGAATAAAAGAAAAAAGGGAAAAAGAATAAAAGAAAAAAGAAAGAAAGGCAAATCAACAAAAAGGGAAAATAAAAAATGTAAGAAAAAAGGCAAGAAAAAAGGCAAGAAAAAAGAGAAAGAAAAAAGGCAAGAAAGAAAGAAGGCAAGAAAGAAAGAAGGCAAGAAAGAAAGAAGGCAAGAAAGAAAGAAAGAAAGAAGGCAAGAAAGAAAGAAGGCAAGAAAGAAAGAAGGCAAGAAAGAAGGAAAGAAGGCAAGAAAGAAGGCAAGAAAGAAGGAAAGAAGGCAAGAAAGAAGGAAAGAAGGCAAGAAGGAAGGAA